TCATCTAGTTCACTTACAACCTCGTCGTGTTCAACTACTTCATCTAGCTCAGTGTCTTCATCTGAGCTGTCTTCATCTAGTTCACTTACAACCTCATATTGCTCAACTACTTCCTCTAGCTCAATGGCTTCATCTAGTCCACTTACGACCTCATCGTGTTCAACTACTTCATCTAGCTCAGTGGCTTTATCTAGCCCACCTACTACTTCATCATTTTCAACTACCTCATCTAGCTCACTTACAACTTCCTCGTGTTCAACTACCCCATCAAGCTCAATCGCTTTATCCAGTTCATTCGTCTCATCTAGCTCGGTAGTCACCTCATCGTGTTCAACAATTTCATCGACTTCAATCGGCTCATCAATTATTCCATCAAGTTCAGTTCTCACTTCATCGTGTTCAGCCGCTCCATCTACTTCAACATCCCACTTTTCTAGTCGTCCTTCTGAAACTGCTTCTGAAATTAGTAGTATTCTCGTCACTGGGTCTACAACTACTCTTAAAACCATCAGCTCGGACCAATCGATAGCTATCCAAACCTGTGAGACTACCGTTATAATCAATTCCAATGGTGATTATATTACTATCACTTCGACTATTATTGGTACTTCTCCATTAATTCCAACCAAATCAGGAACCTCTGAGATGAGTGTAAGTTCGCTCACATCTTCATTAAATATCCAGCTGGGCAGTGTAGTGGGTAGCACATTAGCCAGCGAAAATACTGCCATGAATATTCATACAAGTAGTGAAAGCGAACATTCTAAAAGGGTTACAGGTGTTAACATCATCACTAAGGAAGACTCAACTTACACCGCACACCATCCATTGCCAACAGGTTCAAAGGGAACATTAAGCACCAACGGAAACCTCGCCCTGGCGCCAAACTCTCTGGAATTGCCATCACCCCATATATATCCCTCGATTGATACTGATTATAGCTTAATGACACCAGGCTCTAGTTCTACTTTCCAGCTCAATAATAGACCTAGTATTGCTGCAACTTTCAACCAAGGTTCTCATAATTTCAAAACTCTATCATCTGCGCCTGTCCCTAGTCTCGGTGTATCTACATTTTCCACCGCTTCTGAACTGTCGGCTTTCACGTCTTTTAGTGTTTACAGTGGAGATGCAGCTTTCTCCAAAAATAGAAGTCCTTTATTGTGGACATTCTTGCTTGCTATCGCGTACATCTAATAAATTAAGGAATTAAATAATTAACCATCACTTATTTTTTGATGCCGTTGCATTAGCCTGAATTCTATTATATTCTTTCAATTTCTTGTCAAGTATATTAAGTTTTCATTATTCCATCAATTTAGCTTATTAATTTATATGAATAAATATATTATACTTATCGAAATAATAGAAAGGTATGAAGGAGAAACGAAACTCCTTCCAAATGAAGAAGCATTCATTTAGGAAGAGTTGTTTCCAAATATGTTTATGAACACGATATCCATTAACAGCTAGTATCATGGGAAATTCAAAGGTAGAATAAACTGTGTGTACTATTGGTTTCAGTTATACAATTGGATATGCTCTTTTAATGGGCAAATAGTTAAGCTGAGCTCTTGAATCCATTTCAAGATTTATCATAACAAATTCAGGTTTCCAGAAATTCCATTGCTTAAAATACCATGATATATATATTGTTGGATAATTTTCTCGATTCAATAAAAAACCAGATATATTTAATGATAATTATGTCCGTTTAAAGAAGATAAGTTTTTTGTGCGAATATAAAAAAGTTGACTTTCTATTTTGAATAATGTGGAACATGGGAAACCCAAAATTATAACATACTACATATATGGAGGAAATTGTATCAATAACAGGCTCAATATTTGATTTACATTACTAGAGTTTTGAACTCAAAAGCTTTGCGATAATGCATGATTGTAATAAAAATACTTTTGAATTGTTGGACATAAAAATACAAATCACATACAACATAAAATGATTGCATTGTGTTACTGATAAAGTCATATATAACATCTCCTAAGCCAGTATTATTATGCTCAGTGTAAAATGCTAATTACTCCCATGTATAAGTTGAACCAAAAAATTGTTAGAAAAGGTCAGAATTGCGACAAGATACAAAACCTAAATTTCATGGTTATTTCAATTCAAGATCAATTTAAACTGTAGTATACATTAAATTCGTTACGTGGAAAACTTTGTCAACCCATTTTCAGGTCGATTGAAGGAGGAAACAGAAGTAGTAAGGTCTACTGCCAAGAGTGGCTACCAAAAAAAACCAATGGTTTACTGATCATGCCAACACAATTATCGGGTATAAAATTTATCAATCGGGCCTTCGTATCTATTTTAAGGTTTAGTTGACTAAACGTCCGTGATGGGTAATCTAGATCTACTGGCGAGTGATGCAATGCAGAACTTATGCTTAGACGAAATCATGCGCAGAACATTTTTGTACTCCTCAACTGGCAACCGAGGCTTCCTGTGGAACAAAAGTACTTGTCAAGAAAGCCTGTAGAATCGTCGCGAAGGTTTTCAGACTAAAAATCAATCAAAAACAGACTTAGAAAAGCCATACTCCCATAAATTGGTCACTTTCCATCTCTAGAAAGCACCTTATAATCAGTAGTACGAAATATTCTATAGATTTGCTTTGTATCATCTTCCACCGTTTTATATCTACATTAACTAAAGCAATTGGGAGTGTGTACAAGGGAATAAAATTTTAGCATAAATATCGAATCTATTCCACCATTCCGGTACCGTATTCGTTCGCTGTTATCATATCTGTAATTGATTACAGCAAAATTCCTCACCCCTCTTCGTACTGTAATTTACATTATATCATCTATTTCAATCCGTCCGTTCGTCCATAACCCCTCATTGGATCATTTCCTTCTTACTACTGACAATAAAGCCATTTCCGACGGACGATAACGCTTAATTCAGTTTGTTTCAGTGAAAACGAATTATAGTTCGGTTCGATTCGTAATTTGATCGCATATAATTTTATTACGTAGACCATTATATATATATACAGGAATTTGCAGCATCATAAAAATATTTTATGCTTATTTTACTCCTTCACCCGCGTATAGCGTGCATTAAAAAACCTGAATTCAGACATCGTCTAAATTAAAAATATACATACATGAAGTTACGATGCAGAAGAAACAAATTTACTAGTGTGTATGGATTTAACTAAAATATCAATATTCTCATATCAGTTCATTTCCATCAAAATTAAGCATTGAGAAGTAACAATAACAATAACTGACAATAGAGTGATTTATTTAACTCATATTCGATATTCGGTTCCTCGTATGACCTCACCAAATGAACATGTCGCCTCGAAATATGAACTAAACAATAGGATCCGTATATAGAAACAAGGACCCTAGATGCGGATTTCACATTTCCACACACTTATGATGAGCCGAGGATGAATAGGCGAATAAACTTTACATATAATTCATGCCGTTCGTATGCGGCTGCTTGATTAACGATTGCTTGTGTGGAATTACAATCCACAAGGTATAATACGACAAGAGAAGGCGGATTTGTTTCAAAAGATGAAATTGTACATATGCTAAGTAAAAATATGTGAATTTCGTCTTCACGTATATCGGGGCAAAAGTTTTAGGCAGATGAATGACAAAATACGCCAAATCGAGATAATAGGAAATTAGGTGAATACTTTGTAATGTGTACGCAAAGCAAAGTATCGAAGAAATTTGATATAATTTCAGGCGTAAATATTCCGAAACAATGCAAAATTCGTCGTAGACGGGTCTACAGTGTTATCTATGTTTCTTCCGAATTTCATCTTTTCACTCCATAAAAGATACCAAATGCCTCATTATTGCAAAAGATGTTTTCCCTGAAGGTTTCAAATCAATTCGGATCAAGACAAAATGCAAGGTTTTAAAGGGCTCTTGTTAGCACTAGCATTAGTTCAATTTTGTATGGCTGAAACGCCTTCTCCATGCCTGCCTCTTACTTCTCCATCAATAGGGTTTAATGCCGTCTTCTATCCTTATGGGTTTAGAGACGATACGTCGCTGAGAAACTTGAACTATATGAACGGAGGCTATAAGTCGTTGAAACCAATTGCTCTGACATCTGGAATTACAGATATAAATTTTGGTATAGCTAAGGGTAGTGACCTGGTTGTTAAGGGCCAAATATACGGGAAAACTGTGACAGTTTCAAACTTTAGTGTTGAACTTACTGGTTACTTTCTTGCCCCAGAAACTGGTGACTACCAACTCCTGATGTCTGTAGATGACGGAGCTTTGGTTACATTTGGTGCTGGTCAGGCATTCGGGTGCTGTAACACAGTGTCAACATCCAATGACGGTAATTATGCAATATTCGCCCATTGGTATTCCACATCTAATGCTCCAGGGCAAACAGTTTCTACACAACATCTTACTGCTGGATATTACTATCCTATGAAGATATTTTATGTGAATATGCAAAATCCGATGAGTATGACTTTTAGAGTCACTACACCAAGCGGAAATGTGATTACCAATTTTAAAAATGTTTACACCTTTACAAATACGGATATTTCTTGTCCTGCTGTCAGACCCACAACCACAGTCACCAAGACATGGACTGGTACCAATACACAAACAACCACTAAAATTGCTACGTCGTTCGGCACCGACACAGTTGAAATTGACATTCCTATCCCAACAGTGACCACCACCAAGACGTTTACTGGTACAGCTATTTCAAATACCACCAAATCAGCATCTGTTGGGGGAACTGCGACTGTTGAAGTAGTTGTCCCAATACCCACAATTACCACCACCAAGACGTATACCGGAACCTCGATAGTCACCTCGACAATTACGGCACCTATAGGCGGAACTGCAACTGTTGAGGTTGACGTTCCAATTTCAACAGTGACCACCACTAAGACTTATACTGGAGCCACGACAGTCACCTCGACAATTACGGCGTCTGTTGGAGGAACTGCGACTGTTGAAGTAGATGTTCCAGTCCCCACAATTACTACTACTAAGACGTATACTGGGTCTGATATGACAACCGTAAATCACACTGTACCACCTGGGGAAACAGCCACTGTTGAAGTTGATATTCCTATTCCAACCACTATCATGATCAAAACCTGGACAGGATCTGATATTACAACTATAACCCACACTGCATCACCCGGAGAAACTGTTACGGTTGAAGTTGATGTCCCAATTCCAACCTTTACGACAACGAGAACATGGAATGGTTCTGATATTTCGACTACTACTCACACAGCGTCTATCGGCGATAATGCTACAGTTGAGGTCAATGTCCCTATTCCAACAATTACCACGACCAGAACATGGACTGGATCTGATAAGACAACTGTAACTCACACTGCACAACCCGGGGAAACAGCTATTGTTGAAGTGGATGTTCCAATCCCAACTGTCACAACTACTAGGACATGGACAGGCTCAGATATTTTGACAACCACTCATACTGCACCACCAGGAGGAACAGCTACTGTTGAGGTTGATACTCCAATTCCAACTTTCACCACAACTAGAATATGGACCGGATCAGATATTTTTACTACTACTCATACAGCATCAATAGGCGAGAATGCTACAGTAGAAGTTAATGTCCCTATTCCAACAGAAACTATTATTAAAACTTGGACCGGATCAAATGTAGTAACAACGACTCATACAGCAACTGTCGGCGGTACTGCAACAGTGGAAATCGATGTTCCAATTTTAACTGTTATTACCACCAAAACATGGACAGGGTCTGATGATACAATTATAACAATACCTGCAGAATCAGGTGGAAATCTTACTATTGAATACAACGTTCCCATACCGACTGAAACTATCACTCAAACTTGGACAGGCGAGGCCACCTCAGTGACCACAAGAACAGCATCTATAGGCGACACTGCCACTGTCGAGATCAATGTGCCTATTCCAACAATCACTACAACTAGAACATGGGCTGGATCGGATATGACAACAGTGACTCACAGTGCACCACCCGGAGAAACAGCTACTGCCGAGATAGATATTCCTATTCCAACCTTAACAACAACCAGAACATGGAAAGGTAATGGTACTAGAACCATTACACACACTGCTCCAGCTGGTGAAACTGCAACTGTTGAAGTCGATCTCCCAGTCCCAACAGTTACTACAACGAAGACATGGACCGGTACTGGCATAACCACTGTTACTTACACTGCTCCACCGGGTGAAACAGCTACTGTTGAAGTTGATGTTCGTATCCCAACTTTCACCACAACTAGAACATGGACCGGAAATGGTACTAGAACCATTACACATACAGCATCTGTTGGAGGAAATGCTACTATTGAGATAGACGTTCCAATTCCAACAGTCACCACCACAAGGAGGACATGGATTGGGTCTGATATGACACCTGATATGACAACAATAACCCACACTGTACCACCCGGAGAAACAGCCACAGTTGAAGTCGACGTTCCAGTAAATTCGAATTCGTCAATTTCTAGTATATCTCCATATTCCAGTGTACCAATGACATCGTCATTGGCATCCTCAACTATAATTGGTGGGGCAGTTGAACCATCTAGAACGTTGAATTCAACAGTATTAAGCGTACGAACTACATCACCCCATGTCTCCTCAGATATTAGTAGCGAGTCCTTGGTATCATCTAGCTCACTGAATCCAACAGTATCAAGCGTACCAACTATATCACCCCATGTCTCTTCAGATATAAGAAGCGAGTCAGCGGTATTATCTAGCACATCGAATGCGAAAGTTTCCAGCATGCCAGTTTCGTCAACCATATCTAGTTCTATGAAACCAAGCTCGATCGCATCTAGTGAATCAGATGTTCTGTCTATAATATCCTCAATGCCTGTTGTAATTAGTTCATCTTCACATCGTTATTACGGGAATTCGTCATACCTACAATATTCCACAATGAATCCAATTTCTTCATCAATATCCTCAGACTTTAGCAGTCATACCACAAGTAACTATATCACTCCAACATCTTCCATGAAGGTCGTTTCTGAAAGTTCGAAAAATATAGAATCAATAGCTAGTAGTGGGACTAATGAATCCACTTCAGTGATGGGATCATCGGAACCACTAGTAAGTCCCGTGTCAAGTAGCAATCCAAGGAGTGAGAACAGTGAACAGATTAGCACAGTATATCCATCCTCCTCTATTTCCGAAACATTTGTGACATCTGCTGCTAACCCAATTACTATTCCATCTCCTACTACGTCACACAACCGAGAACTGACAATTCTGCTAACAGATCATACGACTCATATTGTGTCATCACTTTCAACTTCAGATTCAACGGATTTCTATCCCATTATTCCAAATGAAAATGCTTCTCAAAGAAATTCAAATGAATTATCCACCAATTCTAATAGTGCAACGGGATACGGAGAAAACGCTGGTGAAAATAATACCCCAACACCTATTGTCGCAGAGCTGCCTACTATTACAACAACAACCCAGAATACAAGCTCTTCTAACAAAGATAGTGAAAACTATAAAACGAGCGAAACTGTGACCAGTGAAGTCTCTAGTACCACCACTAGCATTGAACCTGTTGGAACTAATAGCGCACCTCATAATAACGGGTCCGGTAATGTATCTAATAATGGTTCTGGTGCTGAGTCTAATGGTGGATCTGATAATGCAGCTGGTGCTGAGTCGTCTAATAGTGGCTCTAATAATGGATCTGGTGACAAGTCTAATAGTGGATCTAATAACGTAACTGGTAATGACCCTAATAATGGACCTCACTCCTCGCCAATTGAAACAAATGGAAGTGCAACCACATCTTCGATTGAAGGTACTTCCAACCCATTCATCTCCGAGCCAGCTTCAACCAGGGCATGGGAAACTTCGACTTCTGGCTTTAAGACTTCATCATCTTCACCATCGTCCATGAGTTCAGTTCCTACTGTCGCACCAATGACGGGGTCTGGTTCGTTCACAAAACATATTTCCTTAACAACTTTAATTTTGAGTATGTTGATAGCCATGATAGTTTAGTTCGATTTTACGAACTACTTGTAAATTAACATTTTCTGATATTCTATAGTTATTTTGACGTTTCGTAACTTTCATATTTTTGATATTACAGCTTTCTTTTTTCATTTTCTTAGTATTTTCTATAATTTCTTTAGTCCGAAGTGGGCCTAATAATATTTATCAAATTTTTATAAATTTGTAGATATCGTGTGGATATTTTACAAGGAGTTGGAAGCAAATTTAGAACAATAAGTGACTTTCGGGTGTACTATTATTGTATTATTGAATTGAACATTCAAAGTATAAATTCTTAATTAAATGGAAAGTTAGTGAAAGGGCATAATGTATCGAATAACTTCCTTCGTGCCAATGATAAATTATAACTTAGAATTATACCAACGTATAATGAATCAAATAAGCTTTTTAACTAATATATACGCCAATTGATAACATAGGACATATACGTTATTATATTACTATCAGTATATGTTGCACATTTATGTTTATCGATAATTTTGTGTAACAGGAAGGGAGGTTTTATATCCAAATTATTACAAGATCTGCTGTCAACTAAACAGAAATGCCTAAACTAAATAAAGATATTAAAGCGTGTCATTACTGCTGTACAAAGAAGATCAAATGTAGGCGAGAATTGCAAACGCAGCCCTGCAAGAAATCTCAAGATTTAAATATCAAATGTGAGACTCGAGAACATAATTTGAAAATTACCATCTCCAGAAGTTTATTTGAAAATCAAAAACAAGAAATTGCCATCTTGAAAGAAAAGCTTAAGAGTGCTGAAAATGCTAGGACTTCAATGACGGGTAGGGTCCAAGAATTGGAATCCTTAGGGAGATCAACGATACAATCAGATCCGACGGATGAATGTAATCTGTTTGGCATTGAATTGACATCGTCACTCCACTTCAATCGAAACTTATATTCATTAATTACAGGAGTAAAAAATGTATGCACCACAATCATCTTCCTAGAACATCTGACCCGTATGACCTCCTTTTCGCAGGACGTTGTATAAACGGGCTCGACGCGGCTACCTTGATCCGTTTTGATGGGCCAACATCTACGGACTAGAACCCTTTATAATCATCACGTGAATACAGAATGGAACTCCCCACCTTGTCCAGCATTGCGGAGCTTACCTTAAACAACCTAGACAATGTGCTACAAGTCACACATTAGACCACGTAGTAAAGAGTGAGATAATAATTTTGAAACGCAAGCGATTGATTATTATGTATTTATCTGCGTCTAAATCAAGACATCTGCAATGGCTTACCATTTGCATATCTAAGTATAGACTGATACGAGCACGCTAACTTAATACACAAGGTAACAAGTGATCTAAGCGCGTATTATCTACTAGTGACTTGAGGTTTTAATTTAAAAATAGTAGATATTAAATGATGAGCCAGTATTTGTTTGGACAGATAATATTGTTTCATAATAATAGTATGGACTTATCAATCCCACTAGTCGTAACCTAATTTGAGAATATTAAGGTACGATTGAGTATTTTGTAGAATTTATTAGTCACTATCCAATCTAATAACCCGCATAATACCCCGTACTCCTAACTCCAGAACCCAAAAAGTTGCCAGGCTCTATTGTTTCGACTCAGGTGGCTCATACGGTCTCCAAAGGGATACTATTTGTTATTAATACACCCACCTAACAACAATATTCCGTAGATCATTCTCCCGTGTAATTGAAACATTATTTGTTTTGTAGTTTCGTATATTGCTGGATTGATTAATTACGAAGCAAGTTTTTTGGGTTCGCACCATTCTCAGTGATGCTTCCACGAGGATCGGACCTAAATTAGCCTCACGTTTGGCACCCAAAATTAACCGATACAAGCTTAGATAATAATGGCTAGGCAGTCAGCCGTGGCATGTATACGGAAGTATACTTCTCGTGGGTATAAACATTCAAAAATATTTATATAGGATGATATTCTCAAGTTTTTTTTGTTATCAGGGAGTCAACACATAGTAATATATATTTGTTTCACAATTAGCGTCTTTTTTTACACAACCATTGTTGAGATTAATTAGTTCTAGATATTAGTACATTTGTTTTCCAGAGACAGTACTGATATAGACAAATTTAGGATATAAGCAAATAATACTATAAAGCAATAGCATATAAAGCTATAGAGTAATAATTCAAGCAAGGCAATTGATAGGGTGAGAATTGGACGCCAATTAACTAGAGATAGTATAGGACGAAGGGTATAAATATAAATCGAAGAAATATGTTTCGCTCACTCAAATACAAGTATATTAAACGAAGGATGAAGAGAATCGCAATGGGCAATTTTGAGGAATACGAGTACCAGAATAAGATCCACTACCGCGATTTGGTTTCATTTGTTTGATGGGAGATTTGGGCCAACGGGGATTATAGGAGAATTGTTGGACATGGGTTGTTTGCGGGTTTAGGCTATTTTATACACGAGCAGCGTAGCAGCGATGGCTGGTTTAATTATGTATATTATTATGTATGTGCGATAGATATACGTGCTAAAGTTCGGAAATTGTAGTATTAGTTGTATGAGTACATACATGCGATATATAGGAGAGATAAAATACAAAATGCTCATAATAATGGCTGGAAGTTGGGCAATGCTGGAGGAGGTGGTGGAGGAGGGTCTTTGAAATTAGCGTTATCAATATGGGATAAGTTGTTCAATGGATCTGATAGTACCGACCTATTTTGGTAGGGTGGAGGAAGAATTATCTTTGCGTCCAGATATTTATTGGACCTAATGGTGGATGTTATTTCATAGATGGGGATTGTCTGCGCTACCTGAGTAACAAGTTCTAGCTCTACCTTCTCCTGTGTTCTAAATAGGGTTTCAAGATCAGCGTCCGAATTTATTCTGGTTCCATCTTTTATATTGAGGAGGTTGATGGTCGTCTGATTACTGTTAGCAGACAATTTGAACGCACTCTTGGCGTTTTCTATCAATTCTAATAGTTTTGGAGGCGCCGAATTAGTGGTAGGGTACGTGAATTCGAGAACGGATGATAAGAACTTCAACGTAACAGCCTTAGTTCTGTTATGTACGTCCTGCTTATTCATTTCAGTCGCCACTGCTGCCAATGAGTTCAACTGGTTTAGAGAATCTGAATACATGGGTATGCATGTTTTGCTTGATTTGTGTTCCTCACCATTGAATACTGTAGAATGCTGCGATATTAAAGGATAGTCTTGTAATATACTGTAGTATAGGCACTCACTTAACGGGAGCATGATATTATCGAAACCAAAGTCCTTGACACAGGACCCTAATAAGGTGAATAGTGACAATGAAGCAATGTCATCGGAAAGAAGATAATTCGTCGTCGTTGACGTATCTAATTCTTTATAAAATTTGGAAAGATAAGATTCTTGATTCAACTTTGATCTTAAATACTCAATCAGAGTTTCGTTAGCGTTCGTAAATGACTTTTCTAAGACATAAACCAAGCAGCACGATATAATACTCTTGCCCATGATTTCAAGATTTTCGTTTCGCTTCGACGTGGACTCCGAACATGTCTTTGACTTCTCGATATAATGTAGAAGTATTCTCCTTGCGGACGAATTAACGGGGCTCTTAGTACTTGCCTTGAAGCTCAAGTTAGATATAGGTGGTAAAACAGGAGGACTATTGCTTATCCGTGGTTGTATCATGGTGTCAATGGCCAGACGAGATTTATCAAAAATCGTAAACTTTTTGCTCCTGGAATAGTTCATGTCATGAAAATCTTCTTGAGAATCAGAGTTAAACCGTGCAATCTCCGATAAAAACTTCTGATTTTGAGACCCCGTATCTGGTGTAGTCTCCGAATTATCCCGTTGGAGGTACTGTTCACCCGGCGAATTTTCAGTTGTATGCATATCAGGCGAAATAGACCTGGAGAACGAATGGGCATATTCTTCATCCAGCCTGCGTCTTTTGTCCCCATTGTCCATTTCACTTCCTCGTTTAGTCTTGGAAGATCTTTTCCTATTCCTTCTTACACTCTGTACTGCAGCCCTCACCAACTTATCAAAATCTCGGAAATACTCCGGCGAGTAGTTGAACTCAACTCTCAATGCATCTGCGACATTCTTGATCTGTTCTTCTTGTTCGGATGCCTTTTTGGAACTCAAATCCAAAGTATCTATAAGCTCAAGTCTTCGAGCTGAAAATCGTTTCCACAACCTTTCATCCAAAAAATTTAGCCTAGCTCTAATAGCATGTGTAACACCTATTCGTTTTGTCTGACTTTCATTGGACATCTTGTAGCATATCACAAATATAAGCTTTATTATTCAAAATGACTATGATTCACCTGTTGATGACCGATGATTCAAATTTATTTTCTCGAGACTAATTGGTTAAGGAGCGCGGTATATAGATCATTAACGTCGAAGTGCCGTTCAATGTGTTATAAATGTTCACTGTTGATTGTCGATTTGACCTGTAGCTGTAGATGTCACAGAGAAAATGGAGCTGTATCTTGAGACGTATTTATTACGTTTTATTGTGACTCAATTAGTATTCGATTGAGTCAATGTTGACTGTGAGTCAACTGTATTCGCGTACAATGACTGAGACCAATACTCTTAGAATAGACACTACTTTGAAAGGCCATTAGTAGTTCTTTACACCACTGACTCTATATTTGGTAGTCGCCCAAGTGGATTCATATCCCGTCGAAAGGAATTTAAATTCGACTAAAAGTGGATCAGGCTAGATACGCCTACCTTTTTCTAATGCAATGATTTTTTATGACGCTGAAAACTTACAAAACCTAACTTTAGATAAATGTTTATCATAATACACTATAGATAATATTGAGCTGACATTTATCCTATGCTGCAGTACATAAGTGTTCAACATCCCAAAGTTCATATTCTTTTTGAGTAGCGAGAAGATGTTAAATTTGTAGGTAAGCTATACATTCAGAGACTAAAATCTGAAGACTAAAAACTAAAGTTGTAATTATCATAGCCAGCACATAATTTGTTCAACCTATATAAAGTTTCGTGGTGCTGAATGTGTTAGTGAAGCTCGTTAAATTTCAATTCAAAGACATACATATGTGGTGCATAGTTTAATACATTGTTTGCTGACTACGTGAATGTAGTAACATTGACAAGGACTATCTATACATTCGGTATATTTTTTCTTTGCAAGACTATGGCACTTGATGTACTCTTCATCTTCCTTGGACTTGTCAGTATTGAGAGAATTATTGGAACAAAGACGGTAATCATACACATAAAGGGCCAATGCTAATAAATATTTCCTGTGCACCTGCTCCAGCCAACATTGTGAACGCAACGCGAGCTTGTAAGAATAACCCGATCACTATTGCCGGTTTCATGTTGAATGAGTTTATTGTTTTACTAACTTCAGAACCGTTAACCGCTTAGGTGCGACCTAATATTAAAAACTCAGGATTTCATAATTGTGCATCCCAGCACATTAAAATCATTTTGATTATTTTCGGTGTAATACAACAATTATTCTCCTATGCTTTGACTCGATTGTCAGCCTATAGCTGAACAGTTAGATTGAGTTGGAAGTACGTAAAAAAATTAATGCGGTGGGACATAAGTGCTAAATATTGGCACAATAAATACACCTATAGAATTGACATGCTGCTAACGTTATTCTAATTCTTTTAAACATTCATACCTTGATTCGGATAGAATATATCAAAAGTACAATGACTAATAGTTAAGAGCTAAATTATTGGATGAAAATCTTCAATTATGACTCATCCCAATTAGGCAATTGAAATGCCCATTAGGCGCGCTTATCGACAAGTATATAAGGGCTGGACGTTTTCCTAATAAAATTTTCATGTAATACTTTTTTCTTTCTAGAATATAGAATTAGTGTTATTTTACGTTAATCAGTTACATATTATTATAAAAGAATGTCTAAAGGTAAGGTTTGTTTGGCATACTCAGGTGGTTTAGATACCTCGGTCATTTTGGCTTGGTTATTGGAAGAAGGATATGAAGTTATCGCTT